TAGACCTAGAATAATTGACCCTGTTATATCAAATCACCTAGATAATGCTCAGTCGCTGTACTGCAAAGCATTCACTTGCATGCAATCACACAATAGGGTGAGTGGGACAGGTTGAGAGTATCAAAAAGTAATGTAGTTAGGTGGGAGAAAGAGAGTGATTACTGAAGCTTTGTTCATCGATTCAACATCGGATATGTGCAATCGAAATAACGCAACAGCTATACCGGAGATGTCGAAAGTGGTGACAAACAAGGAAAGGAAGTTGGAGAGACAGAATAGAGAGAAATATACATTTAAGACAAACTGTGAAAACGTGTGACTAAAATTGATATGATTATAAGTAATAATTTATGCTCGAAACCTTGTCATCCATTTGTTGGGACTGCATCACTGTTAGATATTTAAAATAAGCTTATCAGATATGGAATTACATTCTACTACAGTGCCCAAGTTCTACACTTACAATAATAGTGTCTCATTGGAATGACAGTAGAAATAATAACAGAAACAGAGATACTACTGCTAATAATAATAATAATAGCTTTATTCCAAATAGTACTTTCTATACAGTGTGGAATTTCCGGCATTCAGTAGTACAGTATTGCAGCTAACTTTCGCATTACATGGGTAATAATTTGAAAAACATAGGGCATTTACATTGATATTATTTTGCAATATGAATATGAATAGAAAGTTAAATTAAGTAGAAATATTTGTGACAATATAACAAATCAGAAAAAGAATAAAGAGAGTCGTTTACTGAGTGTTTCACAGTAAGTTGGTAGGTGTCCTGTCTTCTACTTTTCTCATTGTATAAAATATGCGCCAAATAAGGTATGGTACAGCTTTTATATTTATACGTCTCAGTATATAGCCTTCGATAATTGCTTCTACCTCTGTCTGATAAGATGCAAGGAGAGAAATGCTTATAGAGAGGATGTTCAGAGTCTGACACGATAATATTCGCCAATTTCTTTCATGATTTCAAGTGTCTTTCCACAACAACATTAACAAGTTGCTTTAGCTGTATCCCACTCGATCTATTGACAGCTTTCAATGCCCTTCACAGTGTAACATAGCAGTCTTTCTTAAGTAGCTCAATAGAGATTAGAGTTGGGGAGCGGTAAAGAAGAATAGGCAGAATACAACAATTAACAAACCATATAAGTATAAAACTTGGGCACTGTGGTAGAGTATAATTCCATAATGGATAAGATTTTATTTTGATAAATCACACAGTGTAGTACAGTCATATTAACTGATGACGTTTCGAGCACAAACTATTGCTCATAATCATATCAAGTTGATTGATATCAACTTGATATGATTATGAGCAATAGTTTGTGCTCGAAACGTCATCAGTTAATATGACTGTACTACACTGTGTGATTTATCAAAATAAAATCTTATCCATTATGGAATTAACAAACCATAAAAGTAGATGCCAAGTGACGATACCAGATTGTCTTAATCTCCCCATATAGGACGTTAGACGAAACAACACCTTTCGAGATACTAACATATTAAGAGAAGACCAGGAAAGGTGATCAGAGCAAATAAACAATCCGAAGTAATTAACATTCGACTTTATATCAAATTCGACTCTATCTATGATAGAGGAATCATGTAAACTAACCAGTTCGCGTAAGTCTTGCTTGCGTCGGAAAGTGAAATTAACAGTCTGACATCTGAAGAGACTCAGCTTAAGACTAATTGATAAGGACTGCTAACTATTTTGTAATAAAACGTTATTCATTTCCGAATATGTATGACAATTTCTGGCCATTGAGACAGTCAGATCATCAGCGTACTCAACAAATTGGTTCTGTCAGAATAGGGCAAGTTATGTAAGAAGAAAGAAAGTAAGAAAGGAGAAAGAACAGCACCTCGAGGAACACTAGATGGAGTAAGTGAAGCAGTGGAGGACTTTCCATTGTAATGAGTTCATAACAGGTTTATGCTGGCTTTATTTTGGTGCATGGCGACTATATATAGTCTGTATATATATATACATATATTGATTCCACTGATATCCGAACACAGCACACATCGATTCAGATCCCAGAGGGTTAGTCGTAAAAACTAACAAAACTCAACATAAAAATACAATTACCGATACCCATCGCTTTTGTGGCATAAGTTGTCTAGTGGATAACACCTTGACGTTTGACACGATGGGGACTACGTTAGCTTCTCCCCATCACTTCAGGAGGATCGCAGACAAATCTAGGTGACGAGTCCCAAATACAACAAAATTCACATTCCCGATTCTAAGGATAGTCATAATCAACTAATAAAATACCATGTTGATCGTGAAAGATCTACAAACCCTCCGTAATAGAAGTCGACAAGACGAACACTTCAGTCCGACGGAACCAATCAACCGAATATGCAAACAATTGATTTTAAAACAATTATACTAATTTAATCTGACTTATCCAATACCTTTATTAGTGCTTACTCGGATCCGGAATCCAACCAAGAGCTGTAAAATGATGCATAGCAGATTTTAGTTTATTATTTCACATCTAATACAAATATAAAACAATGCATTACATCTAGTAAGTTAAATGTAGACTTTGGTGAAGATATTTAATGCAATATCTGTGTCCTAGAGAATAAATTAAAATTCACATAGAAATGTCACAAGCCGGGTAACTGTTTCCATATAATTTAGAACTTGGCCACTGTGCTAGAATGTAATTCCATAGCAGATAATTTTATTTTAAATACCACACAGTGATACAGGATTAATAACTGGATGACGTTTCGAGAAATATTCGTCTCGTATACATATTTTCTCTCTATTCTGTCTCTCCAACTTTCCTTTGCTGCCACTTTCCATGTCTCCGCTATAAGCGGTGCGCCACTTCGACTGCACGTGTACAGTGTTGAATTGATAAACAAAGATTCAGTGATCGACCTCTCTCCATCTCCATTAAGCTATATTACTTTCTAGTACTTCCATCCTGTTTCGCTCAGCCTATTTTGTGATTGCATGCAGGTGAATGTAATGCAATGGCCTAGCTCTGTTTTCTAGATTATTTACCTTGACAGGAACAATTATTCTTGGTGTGAGTAGGTTTTTATTTTCTAATAATTTAGTTAACCCCGATCTGCTTGTTCACCTTATGATGTAATTAACCTCACAGTCATTACATGGTACTTGGTAAATTATATTCCTTGCTTAAGTGGATATTTTGGGTCTCTTAGTCTGTAGAATTTATCTCTGAGAGAGTTAGTTGTTTTAAATGCCACCTTGATTCTAGTCTTCTTGAGAATCCTACGTAAGGCCTCTGTTGTTCCTTCCTTAATACTGCAATACAACAGAGGCTTTGAACTCTATATTATTTTCATTTTTATTACTAATCATAGTTTTTCTATGGTTCTTCATTAACTTTTGAATGAATTCTGATGATGTTTTTAAGAGTTTTTTTTTTATTTTACTGTTTTTCTTTCCGAATGCAGCTTAGCGCTTCAGACATGAGAGTCATTGGTAGTTATGTTTTTTTCAACAGGATGAGTTTGCTAGACTGATGCTCAGGTCTGTCTCTCTATCACGCTCACCACCGGCTAAGTGTGGTTCCGGAGCATGTCAGCCAGGGGAGAAATGCTGGACCATATGACATGTGGCTGGCGAGGATTCTACATCTGAATCACTGATGTGGCTTATCAGTAGAACTATTCACCTCGTTTGATACATCCACTCCTAATTCCTTTCCTGTTCTTTGATATTCTTTCTTGTTATTCGACTTTATACCACTTGCCATTAGTAAGTAGTACGAATTATATCTCGTTGCTTCTTATTTGCTACTCAAGGTTGACGCACTTAGTATATCTATACTCTGTTTGATGTATAGAAATTGTTTTCTTATAGTTAAACATTTTCTGCTGTGTACGCCTTATTTTCATACCCTATAGTTCTGAATATTGTTTATTCGTGCTACTTTATTCTGTATCTGGCATTCTACACATGGATCGCCTTTGACACAACTTTGATGTTTTTCCTATTGAAGCATGGTGACTGTGATTTTGATGGCATTCATCAACAGACACTTCACATCCTGATATTTGTATATTATTCCTCATTATTTTATGTGTAACATAGTACCGTCTTCAAGGCAAATCCTGTGTTATCGGATCTTACACGTTACTCCACTTGTGGTTTGAATAATCGTTGGGATCCAGGTTTCGGATGTCTTAGCAGAAATTCACATCCACTTGTTTTGGGTTGTTAAAGGTTGATAATCATGTTAGATTATTGAAATTTAAGAAATTTCAAGATCAAAAATTAACTTAAAAATCAAATGAGATAGATGCTACAACGTTTAAGGTAAGAGCTAACAGGCTATGAATCTTGTCAGTGAATGAACTGAGGATAGGTTTCGGAACTTTCTTAAAACGTATTAACATTATTGAGTTTCTTGTATATATGTTTGGTGGATAACCCTATCTCTTAACGTAGCTCTTCAATAACTGAAAACTAAACCCAAGATTATACCAAAATATATTCTTTTATGCCTCACTGAACAAAATTTGTTCATTCTCTTGACGACCTCTTATATAACCAACAGCTCATTTCAGTTCCACTGAGAGTTCACAGATAACATTTTCACAACATCTAGTGGGTTCCTTTTCGAATGAATTTCATGAGCTATTCAGCAGTATAAATATTCTCAGAAGTTGAATTAGAGATTTGGATCGATCCAAAGAGCACTAACAAGGCTGATTCGTCCGAGCTTAGGACTTCTCACTAGTACGTACCCACCACCAGTGTTCAAACTCAGGACCTTCTGGTTATAAGGCAAGCTCATCTAACATTCACCCAACTGGGAACCAGTTCAATGACCCACCAATTCCAGCTTCTACTAATTCGTGAAACATATTGCGCAACCATTAGCCAATGTCATGGCTGATTCATTGTTCGCTTACCTTATTTTCTCCGAATTCCATCTCACTAGACTGTACCATCTATAAGATGAGTTGTATTCGCGTTGTATTTAGTTAAACTCGAGAAGGCCTAAGTAACTCAGGAAAATCGTCAGAATAGATGAATTTGTGTGTGTAACTCTGCCAATCAGTATCCTGAATGTAAAATTCAACTTGTACTGCTTTGATGCATGAGAAAATAATGATGTGACTGTTAACAACTTACCTTTCAAATGATCTGCAATCAAATTAGTGTAAATGAAGGTGAATATAGATAGCGAAGTTATTTCTTGGTATTCATGGCACTCTGTAAGCCTGACGATTACCTTGCATGCTTCCTTCATTCTTCTTCAAAGTTAACTGTTATATTAAGTGAGATTTAGAACTTGACTAGGTTCATCTATCTTAATCTCCTCATCTACAGAAAACCACCTATAGACTGGTCAACTGGCAAACTTCTCTAGTCGTAAACCTATCCACTGTTGAACAGCTGTTTTCGACAGTGAATTCATCGAAAAGACATCTTTGCTGAACTTCTTGTTCTTTTCTCCCTAATGTCCAGAAAGATATTTTCCACGATTAAGTGTAACTCTAGATGAATGAACCTGACTATGACTGGTTATCTTTAGAGATCTTTTTTATCCTCAGGTTCATTTTTATTGCTAATGATCGTTTCAATGACCTGATATTTGAACATTTGTCATACTGTATAATAAATGTTTTTGTATTTCCCAATGAATGAAAAACAAAACGATATTGTTTTTACTAACGTTTCGCTATTTAACGCTGCTTATAGCTTTATCAAAGTATTATTAAATCGGAATTTACAAAATCTCAGCATATATATAACAAAGAGTTAAGGGGTGAGAAAATAAACTTAGATCAAGTTAAAGGGACATATTGAAAGTAAAATAGCAATGAAGATCACTAAACCAAATAACAAAGTTAATAGTACATATGTTATGGTATCAAAACAAAGTTTACTAACTTGATCATCGTTCGTTAGTATGGTTACAACATCTCCCTCCCCCATGAAGTGACAAAATCAACACGAATGTGATAAGCAATTTCACTAGGTAAACACACACTGCCTTTATAATTTTAAACACTGATCAAATCCAACAATCTATACTTGAATTTCAGATTTTTCCCGTCGATTGATTGGACCGAAGTGCTCGGTCTCAGGTTGACATGTCGGCTTCTTGAGCAGATGCTTCGACTGTGTCTGGGCATGTAATTAGTATTTAATTGGTGGATGGTGACTAGATGACGAGCCCCAAATACGGCCAAAATGCGCATCCTGGATTCCACTGCTATTCACCATCCATCAATTAAATCTACACTTGATTTTGTTATCTTTACCAAATGACCAACTTGACAACGAAAAATGACCCCAGACTAACGAACGATGATCAAGTTAGTAAACTTTGTTTTGATACCATAACATATGTACTATTAACTTTGTTATTTGGTTTAGTGATCTTCATTGCTATTTTAACTTTCAATATGTCCCTTTAACTTGACCTAAGTCTATTTTCTCATCCCTTAACTCTTTGTTATATATGTGCTGATATTTTGTAAATTCCGGTTTAATAATACTTTGATAAAGCTATTAGAGTTAAATAGCGTAACGTCAGTAAAAACAATATCGTTTTGTTTTTCATTCATTGGGAAATACAAAATCCTTTATTATTGCAAAGCTTCATTTATTCTTTTTCACAGGTGACTGTAATGTAAAGTGAGATTTAGAACTTGACCAGGTTCATCTATCTTAATCTCCTTATCCACAGAAAACTGGACTTGTCAACTGACAAGCTCCTCTAGTCGTAAACCTATCCACTATTGTACAGCTGCCTTTGACAGTGAAATCATCGAGAAGACATCTTTGCTGAACCTCTTGTTCTTTTCCCCTTAATGTCCAGATAGATATTGTCCACGACTAAGTGTAACTCTAGATGAATGAGCCTGACTATGACTGGTCATCTTCAGAGATCTTTTTATCCTCAAGTTCATTTGTATTTCTATTCATCGTTTCACTGACCTGACATTTGAACATTTGTCATACAGACTGACTGTTACATCATTCCTACTGAAGTTAGTGCTGACAGTGTTGTCCAGAAGGGCACCAATAGTACTCATCTACGCTACAAATATAATTCATGGATTTTAAAAGACGAATTCGTTTATTTTTTTCAGTAATAAAGTAAAGACTTTTCCATCAGAATTGAGTTAAAGTGACGCGATTCAATAAACAACTGGAAACTTTAGTTAAGAAACGGCTAGCTGTCATCACCATATTTGAGTAGTATATCACAATAATAGTAGCAGTAGTATATTTCTATGTTTTTAGCTGATTAAATTATTATTATTATACTTACCCTTTAGTTTAATAGATAAACTGTAAGATAGAAATATATCATTTCTTTTTTGGCAATATTTTTGATTTTTAAAAATAATAGTTTTATTATATTGCTGCCGAATGTACACGACAGACTTTAATCATGCCCTTTAAGAAGCGCAATTTCAACAGACCTCCATCAACAACTGCCTTCCTTCAAATAGGGTAGAACACGCTTCAGGTCGGGAAGTATAACCAGCAAGAAATTCCGGATGGCTATGAACCAACCAACTATCCATGTCCAAATAAATATGGACAAGTTAACGGAGGTAGATTGGAGATACTCTGAGAATAACACCCGATGTAATCATACGTTAGACCCTTGAAGAGAAACCAAACGAGAAATAATGAGGTTCTGCTTGAGTCTGAGGGTGACTTTGTAGGAGATCATATGAGGCATTTATTGGCAGTTGTAGGACCTGCCGTAAAAGCCGATATACTTTTAGAGACCTATATTCCAGTCAGAACCCAAAGGAATAATAGTGATACTATAATATTATTATAAAATCAAAGTTGTTAATATTAATAACTAACATGGATGAAAATTGGTTCACTAAACTGCCTAGATGTGCTGATTTTATTAACTTCCTGACTTGATCTAGTGGTCTCTTGTGTACAACTAGAACATAGGCTGTAGTTCTAGCTATGCAGATAAAGAAACTGGAGCTCTGCATTCAAAACAGAAATTTCTATTTATTACAAAAGGTTACATAATCCAATATTTCCCCTCGCTGTGCTTCCTGGCGACAACTTATCAAATTAACAACCTTATTCAACTTCCATTGATATAAGAATAAAACTTTTGCACTGTGGTAGAGCATAATTCCATTATGGGTAAAATTTGTTTTGATAAAGTCTCACAGTGTTATACAGTAATATTTACTGATGATCACGTTTCGAGCACAATTTATTGCTCATAATCATATCAAGGTACTCACACAACTTTCTAACTTCGTTTATATAATTCCATTATTTTTCATCGCTTGATTTGACTGGTAGTAGTATTCGCCATATATCCGGTATGAGTGATGAGTCATTCCTTTAACATTTGTTGGGTGTAGACTCACTCGATGAACAACGATTCAGTATTCAACCTCTCCCTCCACCTACTTAGATTACTTCTTAGAATTTAAACCTCTCCCACCCAGCTTATTGTGTGGTTGTGTTTTTTTCTAAATTACTTATCTTCTCGGGGTCAACCATTCTAACCTTAGCTAAATTCTTATATCCTGACAATCTGACTACCCCCCAACTACTAGTTTCACCTATGTAGTTAGCCTAACTCACAGTCATTGCAGAGTATTTTGTAAATTATATTATTTTGTCTAACTGGGTCAACCTACAGGGTCCTTTAACCTACACAACTTGTCCTACCTGAGTGAGTTTGTAGGTTTGAATACCACCACCCTAATTCCTGCTTTATTCAGACTCCTATGTAGGGCCTCAGGTGTCCCCTCTTTATATGGTATAACTGTAGATGCCCCATGTTCTCTCTTATTTATGTTATCATTATTAGTTTCACAATTATTTTTATTCTGCTTTTGACCTTTGTTGATATTCCTAATGAATTTTATAGTATAGTTATTTGATACCAACGCTTTTTCTATCTATTTTATTTCATCATTAAGGTCTTTTCTCTTGCTACTTAGTGCTAATGCTGAGTTTGTTAGACACTTAACTAAGCCTGCCTTAACAGTTAAAGGATGAGACGAATTAAAGTCTAAATAGTCAATATTAGAATTCTTTAGCTTTCTATAAAGGCTAGTGTGCAGTATACCTTTTTCTATTCGTTTTATTTTACAATCTAACACAGCTGCTTCTCCTTGTTCATTTTCCGATTCAAATGTGAATTTTATTCCCCGTACTAGTGAGTTTATATGTATCAAGAAGCTAGAAAGAGATATGTTCTGTTTTTAACACTGTGAAAGTGTCATGGAATTATTCAACTTCCATTACGTATTAACTGATATCAGCCCCTACGATTACGAAGAATCTTCACTTTCGGTGTAATTACATTTTGTGAAAATAAAACTGACATTCAAATGCAATTGTACAGCTATAGAAAAAAATAAATTCTCTCGAAAAGGCCTCTTCACTGAAGTATTTGTCTTGTCCTTTTCATTACAGCCTGGATCAGGATTATTCATGATGATGATTGAGATAGTTTCTTTAGGCATATATACTAGGCGAACTCCTCCTGTGGAGCTGCATACACTGAGTATACAGTTTCTGAAATCAATTCCTTTGCTTTGACCATACTCTTAAATCAGCATATATTGCAAAAGTAGACGACGAAAGACTTGATAAAGGAATGTTTATTTGGAATTGGTTATCTGTATATCAGTGCCTCGGTGGCACAGCAATTAGGACGCTCGCTGACCATGCACATGGTCCGAGGTTCGATACCCGGCCCCAGACGCACTCCTTCACCTCGCTAAGCTAGCAGTTAAAAGCTGGTAAAGAGTAAAGGTTAGGCATGAGGCTAGCAACTCCATCCTGTAAAAATAAACACCACTGCTAGATAAACTTCAAGCCTCTAGCTTGAAGCCCTATGTTCCACTGGGAACGTGAAGGAATATACAAATCTCTACAAAAATAAATAGTGCTATAAATGAACATACAAGCAACACTTGTCACTTAATGTGTGCAAGGAGAATCCATCTAAAGTCATCTACAATGTCAAAAGAATCCTCCCGCATAAACGCTAAGCTTCCGTATACTTTGCGCTGCCGAGGCTTTAGCGATCCGGATATAAAACCCTCACATATGCACACAGAAGAAACTTCTCCACTCCGTCCTTCTTCCTAGGGTATAATTCCTGTGTTTTCAAACGATGCCCA